CGTCCACGAACTGATACTTCTCGCCTGGATCCAGCACCATCTCATTAACTTCGTCCTCGGGAGCCTCTCCATCACTTGAGCTCAAGCTCCCCTCGACCGTGTCGTCCAAAGCTTGTTTAAAGCATCAGTGATGTGGAAGATGTGCACGATGACAAGGAGCTCATTCCGAGCTCGCCTGCTTGTAACACTGTGCCGGTGGCACATTTCATACCTGTCACTGTCACACTTGTAGAGCCCCAACCAAACTCTTTACAGTTTAAGAGAGTCAGAAACCTCATGCTTACCATGTGAGAGGACGATAGATCCTCCAGCTCCTTGTGACCAAGACCAAATCTATCGTCCATATATAATTCTCTGGATCTTTCTTCCCTTTTTCTTTCCGGCTTCTGCGTTCCTGCGGCCAATCCATGGCAGTGATAACAACCCGTCTCCTGTCCCTGGTCCTTCTCAGTGCCATCCTCCTCTCTGGCTTTCACTCGAGAAGGACAAGTTTGCTCCCACACGTCCCCAAACTCTTGAGGACTTCTTCCCTGGAATCTCGACCAGGCCAAAGCACCTGTATTGCGGAAGACCCGAGCGTCTTCCCCGTAATCTCCACCAGCTGTACTGCGGGAAGACCCGAGCTGCCGAGAGGACACAGCCTCGAAGAAGCGTGTCCAAACTCAAGCGCTCCTGACGTGACTTTACACGACAAAGAGAGTTGAAAACGTAACTGGATGTTATTTGGAAAGAATAAAAAAAATACCTTATTGTGAACAAGAGTTCCACGAAAATCAATGCATGAACGATGCCTGGTACGCCGGCGGCGGCGGCGGCAACGAGTTCCTCAGGTTTCCAAAGCTGGGGTAAGTGTTCGTCGGGGTGGTGGTGTAGCCAGGAGCGCCGTAGATGGAGCCGTCGGCGGGGGAGTAGATGTAGGAATTCGGTGGCAAGCTCGACAGTGACACTGCACTCCGGCTGCCTGGTGCGTACGACGGCATGTAGCCACCCTGGTTTTGCCTCTCGAACGCAACCGGTGACACGAACTGGTAGCCCGACACGCTGGGTCCGGGCGGGACGTAGCCCCCTCTCTCTGGATTCCTGTCTGGGTTCCGGTACGAGTATCCGCCGTTGTTGCTGCCACGAGGCCGCTTCGACTGGCCCTTCATTGAGCCGCCCGTTCTCTTCTTGTCAAGCTTGGCTTTCTCGAGCTGGAAAATCCGCTTGTGAAGAGGAGACGATGGGAAGTCCGCCTCAAGGTTGTACTCTTCAATGCATTTCAGCACGGACCTTGTCGCAGAGAGTTCCTTCATCATGGAATCGTTCTGGAAGAAGTGAAGCGTCAGCTCTAGCCAAACTGGCTTTACAAAGAGAATCATCGTGTACCTGAGCAGCGGCTGGGCTGTGGCCTGACTTAAGCATCGAGTGGGCAATCCTTCGAGCATCCTTGAGGTAATTCTTCAACAGTGACACTGGCTGGATGCGGTCCATGATGCCAAACTCCTTTGCCATCGAGAGCGCCTCGATCGGCTTCCCATCCTCGACCAGCTTGTCAACGATAGCTGCAAAAGCAAAAACGCTTTAGAACCTCCACACTCAAGCCATCACCGATACACGCCGAAGTGGTGCGCTCATTAAAGTTACCACAGAAACTGGTAACCCCCAGACAGCCAGCCAGCCAGCAGCAGCAAACACACACACGGCAGTTTGGCTTGCGAGAAAACCAAACGCAAGAAACAAACGACACCAACCTGGTATCCTGGCTGACAAGCCGATTGCTCTACACAGAGCGGGAGTCTTCTTACGCCGGGCAATAGCTGATATCAGCCCACACAGCTCTTCCTCATCGTACTCCGAAGAGATACCAAATGTCGCCAGTAACTGCAGGAAAGCCTGGGCATCCAAAGAGCTGCCCCCGGCAGCGTCTTTCTGGACGTCCATCCTAGACCTCCACTTTTCGGCCATATCCTTGGCGACCTCCTTGACATGAGAAGGCACGACGGGGTGGTCTACACCCAGCACCGGATCGGCCAACACTACTTGCAAACACTCCAGGAGAAGGATGCAAGCCCGGCGACTGGCCGAGGCGTCGCTAGCCTTCCTCGTGCTGCTACTCGGGTCCGGGAGATAAGCCTCGAGAGCCACCACCACCATGCGTGCTGGATCCACAGCACACTTAAGAGCGCCGGGAAGCTCGTGGCGCAAGCTAGCAAACTCTTTCCGGTGTTCCACAATGAACCTTCTAAGCCCATCCCCGTCCATGGTCTCGCACAATGCCTTAAGTTCTGGACGGACACTCACCTCTCCACTGGTGCCACTCAAGCTCAAGCCAACCACGGCCCTTCCATCGATCAGCTCATCGTCGTGGCTGGGGCTCTCTTGCGGTATGTTGAGATCCAAGTCCATCGACTGAGAGATGGAGGAGGGAACAGCGTCGATCAGAGTAAAGCTCTCTTGCGCTGCCGCTGCCGCTGCGAGCAGATCTGCCTCCTCCACCATCGATTCCTTTTTCACTACCACAACCTTTGGAGCTCGCTCCTCCTGTTCCCTGGCCGAAATCTCTTGCTCTCTCCGCTCGACGAGCCGCTCGCGCTCGTCCAGGGCGATCTGGAGCTCCCGGGCCCTCTCCTGGAAGGATTTCTCCCTCGCGGCCAGATCGTCATACCTCTTCTGGACATCTCTCTCCGTCTCGGCAAGCATCTCGTCTAACTCCTTCCACTCTGACACACACCTGGAGAGGATTTGCCGCTCCTTGTCGAGATCCAGGAACGCGCGCTGGAGCCGCTCCCTCCTCGCCGCCATCGCCTCCATATCCACGAGCATAAGGGAATTGCCCTAACAAGCTAACAAGAAAAGGTTGTGGGTGTCTTAATTTATGCGATCCGACGGCCACGAAAAAGGCGATCACATCGACGGCTCAGGTTGAATTTACGAATTTAGGTTTATCCGCTCTCTCGATTTTTATGGCGCTAGGCTCCAGGGTTTTGGGCAGTGGTCGCGGATTTCTCTCCACATTCTCTTTGAAAAGGCAATCGTATTGCCAGGCATCTCTCTCCGACGAAGCGGTTCCATCGATCTCTCCGTGTGGAGCTCCAAATCATGGAAGGTTTGAGGACCTCTCGAGGAGAAGAAAGCCAATGTGCTTGTACTTCACGCAAAATCGTTGCCAGTATGTAAGTCTTTGTGTTCTTGGCGGGAAGTCTAAATTTTTGGTCTTGTTTTCTCTTGTTTTTGGACAAGATGGATAGCCCAGAACACCTGGAGAAATTTTCTCACACATTCCCGGAGCTCGATCCCGTGGTTTTGGACGCTGCCCGGCCTCTACCACGCCAACCATTCGACAAATTTCTCGTGCTTGACTTGGAAGGCAAGGTCGAGATTCTAGAGTTTCCAGTAGTTTTGCTGGATGCGAAAACACTCACGGTGGTGGACAGGTTTCACAGGTGAGAAAAAGTTTTTCATTCTTTGTCTTCGACTTTTTTTTTCCTTCTCCAGATTCGTGAGGCCTTGCGAGCTCAAGGGCTCCCGGTTGCAAGCTTACATTGCTGGAAAGTATGGACGCTGGAAATTGGAGAGGTTTGAGTTGTGTGCTATTAAGTACTTCACTTTCATATGGATCTTCACAGGCTTTGGGAGGATACAGCCATTCCTTTCCAAGAAACACTCCTCGCATTTGAGGACTGGCTGGAGCAGCATTCTTTGCGTGATCCTGAGAGCCATTTACTCAAGAATTCTGCCTTTGTCACCTGGTAATCGACACAGTCCCATTTAAGCTTTCGAATCACGCTCTGATTTTCGTGTTTCATTTTCCCAGTGGAAACTGGGACATCAAGACAAAGATTCCAGAGCAATGCATCACGTCGGGGATTCCATTGCCGAGCTATTTCTGCGAATGGATAAACCTGAAGGACATTTTCCTCAACTTTTACAACAAACGGGCAAGAGCTAAGTCTAAAGTTTGAGCAGCCATTGTCAAGTCCTTTCTTGTGGAACAGGCTCCGGGGATGCTGTCCATGATGAGAAGTTTGGACATGAGAGTTCAAGGCTCGCATCACTTGGGACTGGACGATGCGCACAACATAGCTCGAATCATTCAAAAGATGGAGTCGGATGGAGCTGTTCTATCCATCACTGCCAAAAGGCGAGGCAATCGAGTCGAGTTTTTGTTTCAAAATAGAGTCTGACAAATAAGAGTTCCACCATCTTGCAATCTATGGTGGTGATCAATTTATTGACTTTCTAACGCCGTTGTACCGCCTGCTACACGGACCTGGGTTTGATCTGAACGGTGAAATTCGAAAAAACATAGTGATTAGTTTGAGCCTATCAGCTGGCACAGTTTGTCATAGATTCTCATTTTTCAAAATTAGTTTTAATGATAGAAAATGTTAAACAGGAAATTTTAATTAGTTTAGATGTTATATTATGCAATTATGATTTATCTGAATTTTTTGAGTGTTAAATTACTAGATTATCTCTTATAAAATTAACTATGTTATTTGTATATTCATATATATTAATTTTTAAAACTATGTATGTATTTGTAATATATAGTCAATTTCTTTTGATATAAATGTTGTATAAATAGATTTTTTATAGCAATTGTTTTCACTATTTTCAATAAACATGTCCAGATTTAAATTATTTTATTTAATTGTCATAAAACATATATTTGTAAAATAGAAATTTATATCTCCACCAGAATTTTCAATATTTGTTGTCATACATCATATACACAAATTTTACATAAAATTAATTTAACTTTAAAACTTGTTATATCTCAAAGTATGATTGAAAAGAATAATTTATAAAATAAAGATAAATTGATATATTAATTAACTAGCTCAACAAACTTTAAAAACTTAATGATTGTACTTAAATAACAACTAAAAATAAGTTAAAATTAATAACTAGTTAGCAATATGGGATTTTGATTTGGATGTGAGTAAAAGAATAAATTCTAACGTCAATTGTTATTTTACAAATAATATTAAATATATTTAGTATTTGATATTAAAAAATAAATATAATATTTATAAATTTATTATTTTAATTCTTAGGGCGTTTGCAATGGCGCTTCTGGGCCTCTCCACGCTAACTCACAAGCAGGATGTGGATGCTATGATCCGGGACACCCTAGACAAAGTGTTGGTGCTCAGATTTGGGCGCGCCACGGATCCCGTGTGCATGCAGCTGGACGAGACAGTGAGTGATTAGTTTCGCACTGCAATCACTTTCTTGGCTGCTCTTCTTCTTCAGCTTGGCAAAAGTTCTCGGGAGCTGTCCAAATTCGCAAGCATTGCGCTCGTGGATGTCGACGCACAAGAGATCCAAGTCTATCTTCACTATTTCGACATTACGCTCATTCCAGCGACCGTCTTCTTCTTCAACTCCCAGCACATGAAAATGGATTCCGGGTAAGTAAATGCTTCGCTACCAGGTTCTTACCACAAGTTCGTCTTGTCCAGGACACCCGATCACACCAAATGGATTGGCGCCTTCCACAGCAAACAGGATTTCATCGATGTTGTAGAGGTACTGAAAAGAAAGATAAATCGCATTTGCTTGATGTATTGTAATTACCAGACCATCTACAAAGGCGCCATGCGCGGAAAGCTCATCGTCAATTGTCCATTACCGGCGGACAGGGTTCCCAAGTTTGAGCTCCTGTACAAGGATATCTAAAGTGAGCTCCAAAAACATCTATAATCTTACCTCTGGATCTTCAGTGTAGCTCCTCGCCTTTGCCGGGAAGAACTGAGATGCGTTGGACTGAAAAGAGCCAACGAGAGTCGTCCAAGAAACGAAGTCCGACTTGAAAGGCATTCGAAAGATGAGCTCCCGAGCGTCTCTAAACTGGCCAGCCCTCCCGAGAACGTCCACAAGGCACGCAAAGTGCTCCCTCGCACAAACGATGCCAAAGTCGTGAGTGGCCGAGCACAGGTACTGCAGGCCTCTCTTCACCAGGCCAACATGGCTGCACGCCGCCATAACGCTCTGCAAGGATATCTCGTTGGGCTTGAGTCCCTCGAGCAACATCTCGTGGAAAAGCTGGATGGCGATCCTCCCTCGGCCAGTTCTCGAGTAGCCGGAAATGACCGCGTTCCAGGGGACTGTATCTTGCTCGGGAATGCCATCGAAGAGAGCTCGGGCCTCGCTGATTCTGCCAGTTTGAGCGTAAGCTCCGACCATGGCGGTCCAGGAAACGATGTTCTTCTCCGGCATAACGTCGAACAAGCTCCTGGCCTCGTCCAGATAACCGTGCTGGGCGTAGGCGATGACCAAGCTGGTGGAAGAGACACTGTCGTGGAAAGGCATCCTGTCGTGCATAAACTTGGCCTGCTCGAGGTACCCGTCGCGGGCATACGCCTGGAAGATCGCAGTCCACGACTCCACCGTGTGCTCTTGGAGGTTGCCAAACATGTCTTGAGCTTCCCGGAGGTGACCCTTTCGGATGTAAGCCACGGCCATGGAGCAGCAGCTCACCATGTCCCAGCACGGCATCACGTCGAAGACGCTCTTGGAGTCCTCGAGAAGACCCCTCTCGTTGTAAGCACTGACCATGATCGTGAATGGAACGATGCTCGTCACCGGCATTGCGTCGAAGATCTCCTTGGCTCTTTCCAGGTGCCCGTTTTGAGCGTAGCCGGTCATCAGCGTCGCCCAGGAGAGAACGTCATGCTGCGGCATCCCGTCGAAGATCTTCTGAGCGCTGTTCAGCTGCTGAGTCTCGGCGTAGCCTTGCAGCAGAGCAGTCCAGCACACGACGTTCCGCTCGGGCATTCCGTCGAACAGATGCTGAGCTTGGCTGATTTCCCCAGCTTGAGCATACGCTTGAACCATCGTCGTCCACGAAACAATATCCTGTACTGGCATGCCGTCAAAGATGCTACGAGCCTCTTCCAGGTAGCCATTCTCGGCATAAGTTCTCAGCATAGCCGTCAGAGCCACCATGTCACAGCTTGGTATTCGCTCGAACAGGCACCTAGCTTCGTCCAGATACCCGTTCTGGGTGTATGCCGATAGCATTGTCGTCCACGTTACCAGGTTCCGGTCGGGCATCCTGTGGAAGATCCTCTCGGCGTCTCTGATCCTCCTGTGCCTGATATAACCCGAGAGCATTGACGTCCAGGATACTACGCTCTTGTCGCCCATCGAGTCGAAAACCCCCTCCGCCTGGTCGATCTGCCCGTTGCTGGCATAAGCTGCGATGAGCATGTTGCACGAGAACTCGTTGGGCCGAGCAATGGAGTCGAACGTTCTGCGAGCCTCCGTAGTACTTCCGCATTTTCCATACATCTGGACGAGTAAGTTGGCGAGGAAAGTATTGTCGCGGTACCTGCTGTGCCGGATCTGATCGTGGATGAGTCGCCCCTTGACCAGATCTTTGGAGTCGGAGCAGACTTTCAAGAGCCTAGCAAACTGCGAGTCGTCAAGTTCTTCCACAGCTCGAGATGGAGTTCTCGATGGTAAGACCACTCGGCTTTGTGCCATTCCATAACTTAGCTAGAAACCTGAAATTAAGCGCAATATAAAATCCAATAGTAATAAGAATTCCATCAACCTCAACTCTCGGATGGTCCCTGAGAAGAAGCTTGCCAAAAACCAGCAAGGGCACTGCCAAACACGGAGTGACAGACGCTGGAAATTGCACAAGGGACAGCAGTCAATGGACTGGTAAAGTGCTGGTTTGCAAGAACCACTCCCAGTACCGAGTTCTGAAGGTAGACCAATGTTAGTGAGAGTGCAACGAAGAAACACGCTGCTGACTTGCCTGCATGCCAACCTCGATTGATATTGTCCGAGCTGTGGATTCGCTAAACCTTATGACTTTGGCAGCTAGATATCCAAGCAAAAATCCAGAAGCATGCAGCATTGCGACCGCCACGAAAATCTGAGCACCCGTGGTGGTGATTGCTGCAGCACTCTGCGCGATTGCACCGGCACAAACTGCGGCAATCGTAACCACTGCAACTGTTGGAGCTAAGGGCGATAGAATCCGAACGAGTCCAGGGAGATAGTGCGCCATCCCAGCTCCTGTCAGGACCGGCAAAAGCACCACCTACAATAGGCAAATTGTTTCAAAAAGTTCGGAACTGAAAAACTCGTTACCTGCAACGTTGACAACACGAGAGCGTTTGCATCAACAGCGACGTATTGTCCAGCGAGCTTGGCCGTCAAGAGAGGCGTCATTACCTGTTATCAAGAAACAAATAAGCATCTACGATGACCAAAGCAAATGTTATATAGTCACAAACCACTGCTAAGAATGTGCTGATCGCTGTCATAATAACTGAAAGCGCAACATTGCCCCTGTATAATCCAGTGGAAGACCAGTCCTTTAGCAAGTAGAAAATGGAAGAACAAAAGAAAGGATGCAACGAATTTTACCTTGCAAGGTATGTAACAACGTTACTCGCAGTTCCTGTATGGATAAGTTACACATTTGCAAGTATGAAATGAAGGAAAAAAAAACCTCCTGGGCAGCAAGATACTAGCACGAGACCCGCGGCATAGTGAGATGGCAATCCCAGAACACGAGCTACGGTAGCTCCTGTTAGTGGCATGATCTAACGAAGATGAAAACAAAAAACCAACAAAATTTTAAGAATAGAGAAGAACATCGAAACTCTCAAACCGTGTATTGCAAGAACACTCCAGCAGCAACTTCCCGTGGCATCGACAAAGCTCCTTTGAGATCATCGATCGAAAGAGTCATTCCCATTCCTGTGATCCAAGTCATTGATTTTAACACTGGGAAAGTTTCCTTTTATACGTACCAAGCATCGTGATCGTGATCCCGACCATCTGGAGCTGCCCCTTGATCCACAAGAACGCGCTCGGCCTGACCAATGCCGCCACACAGGCGATCCCGACCCAGACCGGGAACAAGGACGAGAGCACACCTCCAATGGCTTCAAGCCTTTGGATCCACACGCCATCGCCCTCTTCCACGGGCAGATCTCCAAAACTCCTGGCCGCGGGAACTCCGCGAGCTGATCGCGACCGATTCTCGGTGAAGCTCCGAGATTTGTGCGACTGGAATATGAGCCCGTTCTTGCTGCTATAGAGAGATCTTGGAGCCGATATCGAAGAAATGCGGGCTCGATCCCGTAATATCACCGCTCCAGCAGAGAAACAAGCGCTTGCCGCCATGAAAATGGAAAAACTATTGAGGGATCACAGATCCCGAGCCTCGGGAAGATTTTTAGAGATCAGCTGCCACAAGATCCAGGAGGACGAGGAGAGGATAGACATGACCACCAGGAAGTACTTGATGCAGCACGGGCAACTACAGCACGGACAGGGCCGCTTCTCCTCTACTCGCGCCATACCCCTCAAGAACCCTAAAACAAAGTTTTGGGGGAAGTTCTCAAACACCATATACCATTCATCTAAATCTCCGCATTTTCTTCCTACTCTAGGTGCTCAGCCGCGCCTTGCGAGCTTCCTCTGCCTTATCCATGTAATCCTGATGACTGGAATGCTTCACACCTGATAGAAATGTGATTCTGGCATCAATCGGTTGATCAAATGAGAGAAGAGAACGAACCTCTGGTCATGAAGTACCAGGGAATGTAGCCCACTCCCAAGATCGTCACTACACCGATGAAGACGTGCTTGTTGTCACCGCTGTAGAGGAATCGGCGGACCCATGGCTCCATCGCAACAAACCAGATTAGGGTTCTTGCTAAAACCCTGGATACGGACAATGTACGGACGATAAACCAGATTAGGGTTCTTGGGTACGGCATGTTCTTAGTCGTGTGGGGTGTTACAATGGACGTGGTGTACGATAACGCTGGATCGCACGGAGCCTCCAATTGGACTGGACGGGCGCTTAGCAGCACCGGAGACGCAGTTTGATGGGCAGACGTTGTCGCCGATGAGCGATCGACCACTCGAGAAGAAGTAGAGGAATTGTTCCCAAGTGATGGCCCCGACTCCTGCCAATTTGGAGATGAGAATCAAAAATCGTCCACGAAAAATTGGAAGAACTACTCTTACCAGTGGAGTCGATCCTGTTGAAGACGCTTTCGAATGATTCTCTACGGCCGTCTTTGCCTTTGGCTCTAGACAATTGCATGAATGCGGCTATCTGGAATGAAATGCTTCAGCTCTCGAGAGAAAGGAGTAGCAACTTACGTCCTTGTCTCGCTTCATCGCGGCCATGAGTTCCTTCTTAGTGATGTTTCTGTCAGCAGCGTTTGAGATTCTCTCCTTAAAGAAAATAGCGTACCCAGTGTTTTCATAGTCGATCTTTGTAAACATCTCCCACAGTCGCCGATACTCTTTCACGGAGATTCCAGCAGCTCCGGCGAGAGTTCTGATGTACGAAAGCTCCCTTGCATTCTTGCTGGCCCTTCTTACCAGCGCAAACGCAGTGCTTAGCTGCTCCAAGGCCCTGAGCACAGAAGGAAACTCGCAGTTAAACAAAATCTGGCAGCTCTAGAAACAATTCCGACATTTGTGTTACCGCTTTTACGTAGTTAAGGATGCCGAGGGGAACGATTGACAAACATACTTTGCATGGAACGTGAGGCAGCTGTGGAGGAACTGCTCGACAAGTTGCTGTAAATCCACGACGAAATGTTGGAGAGCATGAAAGAGTTTCAATATCAAAACTTACGTGGTAAGGCTCGAAAGGATCTCCCAAATCTCCTGGCCAGCGCGGTTGCCAGCCATCGTTCACGCTTTTTATCACAGCCTTGCAGTCCACTCGCCTGTTACAGCCAACTGGAGGCTCCGGGGCCGCTGCCACTCTCGGTACGACCCCTCGAGAACCAAATAAAAGAATCGAAGCTTCAATGGCTGCTTTGTTTCGCTCAGTCTGCAAAATGAGAAAGATGAAAAATGCATCGTAAGAATTTTTTTCCTCTGCAAGATCCATTCTCACCATGAAACATCGACCTTCTTCCGCTGATAGAACAGCATCCGCAGCGCTATAGAGACTAGCGACTTGTTCCTCTACAATCACAAAGCACAGTAAGAAACTTGTGAAAAAAAACGCAAGAAAAACTCCAACTCACGATGACACTGGAATGTATCGATGTCATTCGACTCATTCAAGCTCTGCTCTAGGCGAGCGCACGCTTGAATCGCTCTCGAGACATCAATGTCGTAGCGCTTCACGCCTGTATACAAGGTGCAATCTCCAATCCTAGCTCGAATCGATCAGAATCAAACTTACGCCGCATTTCAGTCGCCCACGTCTTGAGCGCGTAGCGCAGCGCCCGGACATGGCTGCTCCGCTGGAACTGAGGATCCCTCCACACGGCGCAATCGGCGATTAGGGCTCGCCCTAGCTCTTCGCACGCCATGAGCTACCTTCTACACTAGCTAGTATAAAAAATCCAGCACCGAAGAACACGGAGAAAACGGTTTGTACAGCGGACGTGGCAAAAGCACGAATATTCTGAGGCATATTCTCCATTCAAATTTTTCTAGAGGTCGACTGGCCTTGGCTCTGGCTTTCTTATATGCCGGAACGAAGCTCCAGGCTCGGTGGGCTTGAATGGTGGATGGGCTCCTCCGAATGGTTTTGGGAGGCCATAGTTATCCACTGGAATGTAAGCGTTTGGCCTTGGCTCGGCAGTGGATCTGCGAGAGAAGAACTAAACTCGTAAGAACTCAAGACAGACAAGAGATCAAGAGCTTGCCTTCGTTCTCCAAATTCCGAGTCGTCCCGGCTGAATCCACACGCCGAGAACGAGCGCCTCTGCATATGGTGCCATTCTCTCTCGCAATCCGCGGTTGGAGGCTGGAGAAAAGGAAAGAACAGTTGGAGAAAACTGGAAGAACAGTGTTTCTCACCTCTCCATTAGCTAGACGAGCCGAGGCTTCCAAAAGGACGGCCTCCAGACACTCCTTCTCTTGCTTCAAACTCATGGCTGTCGCCTGCAAAACACAAATAACTCGATGAGACAATGAACTAGAAATGGAAAACTTGAATCTACTGACTTGTGTTAGCGATAGCTCCGAAACGGTGGCCATCATTTGCGTGGTGACATGTCGAAGCTGTCGCTGGAACCGGCTCATCTTTGAGACAGTTTCCACGGCGTCGGCATAGCCATCAGCTGCCTGTTTTTTCAGGTCCTCGGCCAGAGCCGTCACCTGTGAAACAGCCACACGTAGAAATCAAAGTCGATATCAACGGATAGAGAATTACCTCCTCCAAGACAAGGTTTTTCTCCAAGGATTGGTCGCCTTTCCGGTGGAGGAAGAACTCCAATGCTGTGAGCTTCGCCATGAGCTCGTTTGCCGTCGGGTCGGTGCCTTCTAGCAGCCTCCAGTGAGCTTTGTTCTCCGGATTTTCTACCAGCTTAGACAGCCTCTCGCCTTCTTGCACGGTTAATCTCAACTGGAGTAATGACGCATAAGCGAATGCGAGGAAAGAGAAGACAAAGCATGACATACTTGAATTTTGACGTTCTTGATCTCCTTGCGTATTTCCACGGCATTTGGAAGAGACTTGTAGCAGAGAAGAATATATCTTTCAAGGTTGATGAGCTCCGGCTTGAGTAAGGCAATTTCGTTTTCTCGTTTCAAAAGTTCAATCTCTGAATGTTTTAGAAGCTCATCCTGCATCGAGACGAACACTTAAACCACGAAAACGATATAATTCTCGACAACAAACCTGGGCGTGAGACTTCTCATAAAGGATACAAAGCTCATCGTTGCGATCTATGAGAGATATACCAGTGTGGTTTCGGCTTAAAACCGCATGTTCATACTGTTTTCTAAACGATTCCATGTCCTTTTCGGCGTTCCGAAGGAGACCATTTAGCTTGTCAATTTCTATCATGTGCTCATCCGCCATTTCCTGGCCGATGACCCTGAGTTAGTTCGACAAAGAAGCTGTGAAAGGAAGTAATCACCTTCTTCTTTTGCAGTGCAATGTGGCACTGCGTAATCTCTGACCGAAGAAGAAAACGGTGTTGAACAATGATGGCAAACTCTTTCCTCATCTTCGTCAAGACCTTATCTTTGTACAAAACCTCGTTCTGCAGCATGTTTACTTCGACCTCCAGCATCCCCATCTTGTCCTTAAGCTCGAGAATTGTGAGATTGCTTAACTAAAAACATCGACACAAGTCAGCAGTGATATCTCTACCACATGACACAGACCTGCATCAGTTTGACAGACTTATTCCGTTGGCTTCTAAGAAGATTATACACATTGAAGAACTTGGCATAGGTGTCACAGATATCTTTTTCCTTCTTTTGTAGAAATCCGATAGTAATGTCTGAGACCCGAATTCTTTCTCTGGCTTCTTTTAGTTGCTGAACCTGCAAAATCACAAACAACGTGAGGAAAACCGGGGGAAACTAGCTCGCATTACCTTCAAAGAAAGTGTACGACAAATATTTTCTCGCATGCTCGCAAGCTCTCCCGCTTGCTGTTGCCGTTCGTAGTCAAGACTGATGGATCTATAAACCTCCCTTTCGAGCTCCGTTGCCTGCATTACGCGCCGTAACTCTGCCGAAAGAAATCAAGGCTTACCTTTTGATGACCCTCGCGTAGTTGCGCAACCATTTCCTTGCCAACTCCTTTCAACTCGGTGTACATACGCATTCTACCATCAGTGTCTTTCTTAATCTCTAACACTGCGGTATGCACTTTCTTTCTTTCGTTTTCAACTTGCATAAGCTAAGAACTTGGGCGCCGTTAGTCGCAAAAAAGGATAGAAGGCTATACCTGCATATTTATGTTGCTCTTGATGGCTCCAAAGGCTGGAAGGGTATCCTGTATTTGCTTGAGCACATTTTCTGTGTGTTTGACCTTCTTTGTTATCTTATCCTTGTCGGTGGTGCGAGTGACGAGCCTCTCCTGCTCCACTTTGTGATCGGTTTGCAGGGCTTTCAATTGCATATCCAAAGTCACCTGCATCACGAGAAACGGACCGTTTTTTCCGGGAAGTCATTTATGAATTCTTACTCGATCCGCAAGATATTGATCGGCATCTAGACTATGAAGCTCAAGCTCCTTCTTCATCTCCGCAACTGATTGCTCCTATAGCAAAAAGCAGTAGTTATTAGGCGTTGACGACAGGATCGTAAAATCGTACCTTCTGTTCAGTCAGTTGCCGAACCTTTTCCAGTTCAACCGCAAGCCTTGCATGTTCTTCAGTAGTTTCTCTCATGTTTTGATTTAGCTTTTCAATATGTGTTTCGAGTTCCTTGATCTGCGAAGGACGCATGTAATTTGTCATGTATTTGTCAGTTTTGCGACCATGATAACACCTTCTCGCTGTAATTTTGATCCTGAGTGGTGAGCCCTTTGACTCCATTTGAGAGAACATCTGCCTGTTACCACAATCCACTTAACCAGAAAAATCGCAAGAAGAAAACTTGCCTGCTTTTTAAGCTTCTCTGGAACTCCATCGTATGTTGTCAGAGTTTGAAACTCTCCTCTTCTATGAACGGTAAGACCTTGCATGTCGGTCGCCAGGACCTCAAGACGCGCTTGAATTTCAGCGCTCTGCCAAAAATGTGGTCGCGTGTGATGGGTGGAGCCTATAAAAACAATTGAGCAAACTGAAAACTTACACAGGAGAGGTTTTAAGTTGTAAGAACGATTATACCTCCTTCTTTAGTTCCTCAATCTTTGCAATAGAATCATCGTGCTGGCTATGCAAATCGCTGATATCCATCTGTATGGATCACAAAACTCAGAGATAACGAAGGAGGCACATTACCAAATGTATCTATCACCTTCAGTTGAAGCAACGTTGGCTGTAGAGCCATATCATGCTCATGTTCTATCTCTTCGATCCTCTTCTGAAATTCTTCTTGCGCTCTTCTAAGATCCGTTTCTTCGGCCTGCAATGCCAAGTCCCTCTCCCTGCGGCAAAGTTGGTTGTCTAGCTAGGAAGATAAAAAAATAGACAAAGAACCATACTTTACCTGCATGCCAGTGCTTCTGATTCCGCTTGCTCCGAGTCCTCACGAAGCATGTCGAGAGCAGCTTCATCTTCCTGGGCGTCGACCAAAACTTTCTCCAGTTCAATCTTCTCCACCTACAAAAGAGAGGAAGATGTCACCGCTAGAGAAAAACAATGCAAGGCAAAAGAGAAAACCAAAGAGTTTCCTTACATTAAACTTGCGAGTGAGCTCCTCCCTTTCTTCAAACAATTTCCTAGTGTTTGCTATACTTTCCTTGAGACTCTTGTGGAGTTCCTCATACCTGCATTGCAAATTCTATCGATCCAACGCTAAAAAAGAGGAAAAATCTCCTCACTTCTGCCTCGCGAAAGCCGCCTTGGCGCCGGTGATGTTCCCCTTGCGCACCAATTCATCAAGCTTCAAGAGCGCGCTAAGATCCGGCAACACGACCAACTCGATCCCTTCCTCCTCCGCCATTCCCCCTCTCAGAGAATTTTCTTCTTTTTCGTATTTTCAAGCCCTAAAGATCTCAACGGTTTATCAATCGCCACGTGTCAAGATAATAATTAGCTAAATAAACGTCGCTAACTATAATTAACATCGATGAACATTATTTCGCATTGACAAGCTTTTCTATGGATTCTTTCCAGACCCTCGCTTGTCCCTTTGTATCCTCCAGATTATAAGTCCGCTTTGGCTGCTCGAGAAAACCACAGCAACGCATTAGAGATGGAGAAAAAAAACGAGACTTACCGTGCATATACAAAACTTGAGATCGTTCTCCACTCTAACATAAATATCCCGCGACCATGGAACCTCTCCCTTGAAAACAAGTTTGATCGGGTGGACGTAGAACAGCCTCGGCCTGTCAGTGAGGATCAGCTGTCTCTTCTTGACCGAGAGCTTTCGAAACTTCCGGACGCGCGAACTGGCCAAGATGGTTTCACCTTCGAATAGAAACTTCTGCCTACAGGGAACTCGGGTCAGCTACAATTGAAACCAAAAAATCGACTTGGAGAGAAGTGTGAGAACTAACCATGGTTCGTGAACGTTCTCGTCGAGAAGTCTTGCAGCAGAAGCAAGCACGGCGCTGGGACTCGATGGCTCATTACTGCTGGACATGGGACTCGAGGCGTCCGAAACGTCTAGCCTCGAGACCCGGCCTCCCAGATGAGCTAGATCCCAGTCCGAGTTTTCTGAATCATCACTCTCAGCTCCATTCCCCCCACCCTTTAAACAAGTGCGTCAATGTTTTCGCGTCATCAACAACAAAGTCGAGTTCGAACATAAGCCAACAAATAACTGACACAATGCTGCCTGTAGATCACCTGAGACGATGGCGATGGAGCAAGCCCGGGTGCGGCCGACTGCCTGAGTTTAAGCCACTCAATCCCGCTGAAGAAAGCATGGCTTTTCAACGCTGTATAGCCCGCTGGGCCAGCTCCGGGCCTTTTGTCAGGTTCAAGGTTCTGGAAAGAACAACCAAAATGTGTCCTTTCCACTCCACAAAGAAATTATCATCGACTTACCAGCAACTTATTGATAAGTTCTTTGGCTGCGGAGGGGAAGTGAGACGGTATGACAAGGTCTTTCGCCAAAACCTTTTGAAACGTGAGGTATTCGCTCCCGCCTTTGAAAGGAGGCCTCCCTTCTAGCATTTGGTATATAATACATCCCAAGGCCCATAAGTCTGCCCTGCAAACCGGCTGCTTATTAAACGGAAGAACCAAAAAGAAATCCCATCACACATACCCAATAGTAACGGGATGGCCATTCAAAACTTCTGGAGAAACGTACTCCGCAGTGCCAACAAACGTACAGCTTTTGTCATCTGTGAAACGAAAGTGCACACTAAACGACACGAGGAAAGAACACGAGAACGACAGATATTTAACCTGCTTGCGCGTCGCTGAGACCATTCTGGAGGGGTGTTGTCACCTTCGCACTGCCAAAGTCTGCCACCTTTATATGCCCATCAGCAGTCAGGAGTAAATTTTCTGGCTGGCCAATGTCGATATCAAAACGACCATCAGGATCATATGGTGAAAAAAAAACGTAATCGACCATCTCCTCTGCTGGCAGCAGCAAGAGAATTGTACAGAACAACAGCCAAGAAAGGAATACCTTGAGATCCCGATGAATCAATCCTTGGCCGTGAATATATTCCAAAACATCAACAATCTCCGCAGCATAGAAACGAGCTTCTTCGAGAGACAAACGACCTTTCTGCGCGTGAAAAGAGACATGTCACCAAAACATTTCAACGAGCAGGAGTAAATGGCCCACCCTTCTTATCTGGTCGAAGAGCTCTCCCCCATGACAGCACTCCAGTCCCATATCTAGATTTTCATGTATCAGCGAAAGCAACAAACGAAGAAAGAAATTACTTACAGAGATTGTGAGTATCCTGAAACGTGAAAAACAAACGAACCACACCAGGATGATCCAGATGATCCAGAATAAGCCGCTCCATCTTCACATACGCGACCTTGTTCTCCTTGGTGATGTGCTTCTTGTCCATGATCTTGAGCGCAAACTCAGCTCCAGAGTCTTTTTTCTTAGCTCTCACAACCTGAAACAAGGGGAGAAAAATGAAAAATGGAAAAATGCAGCTAGAATTCGCCACAAAACCTGACCTTGGAGTAGGATCCCATGCCCAGCAGCCTGCCATAGGCGAAATCCTGGTAAGTGTATGGCTGCTGAGGAGCCCTAAACGTGAGCTTGCTCCCGGGTTTGCACGAGGAGGCCGTGGAAGGCGCGCATTCTTCCTCGCCCGCCGCCATCTCCACACGCTGGATCACCTCCTCCTCGGCAGTCCCATCGGCGCGACCGCCATCGCGAAATATTCCCACTCGCTTCTTCTTCCTCTAACTTATAAACCCTAATCAGTCGCGTCCGTTGAAACGCCTTGGTTTGGCGGCCTTGCCACATAGGCTTTCTTTCTCTCACAGTAATCCGCGTCTAGACGCTATCGCGGCCAAGAATTCTTCTCTCCTCCCAGGGCGCCCAGATCTTGGATCGGCGATAAGGTATTCTCCTTCTCTAGCAGCGATTGGAACGGCGGCGCGGCGATCGATCGATCGATCGCTGGGAAAAGATCGGGATTAGTCTTTCCATCTCGGCGGCGGCAGTGGATTGGAGCGAAATTTCCTGTCCCAGGGGTCGTTAGTGTAGGGTTTGGGGCAAAGAGCATGAGCGCAAGCGACGAGAATGACACGCTGGTGAGATGGGGTCTTCACTTGCTGGAGGTTCATCCTTTCACTGGTAGCAACGATACGCGATCATCGTCGCCCGATTCTCTTCCTTGCTGCTGCCCGGCAGATGGCACAGAGGACGACGAGGCCCTAGCAATCTCTCTCCAGCAGCATCTCTACACCGAGGATACCACGCAGCCGCAACAGCAGCCACGGGAGGAGGATCCCCCGATCGGAGATTTTTTTGACAATCGCGACAAGGAGCATCACAATCTTAACGATTACGGTTTGGTGACTGGATCGGAGGAGATCTGCGAGGATTGCGCCGCCGAGGAGATGAGCATGGGCAATCACCACTCTTCCAGCAGCAGCAGCTCCCCAACTTTCTCTTACGATCAGCGCAACAACAGCACCAACGAGAACGATGAGGCGATTGCGGTTATTCTTTCCGAGGAGTTGGCACAACTCGATGGAGGAGAAGTTGGCCGGCGGCTCACACACATGGAATCCATACCTGTAAGTAGGCTGTATGGATTTTTTTCTTCTTTCTTCTCCATGGCTGACTTCTTTCTTCTCCATAGCTGACTTCTTTTTGGTGCACTTCTGTAGCATATCCCGAAGATAAATGGAGAGATACCGAGCCCGGACGCTGCCACACTCGATCATCAAAGGCTTCTTGAGAGGTTGGTTTCCTTTTCTTTTCACTTTGATTCATTCGTTGGCTTGTCTCTATACAGGCTTCAGGTCTATGGATTGACAGAGCACAAGATTCCTGGCGATGGTAACTGTCAGGTGAATCTCGCATTTCTGCAATTCCTGAAACTCTGTTTGCGTGCTTGCATTGAAAGCCTTCCATTTGAGAGCCCTGGCCCGGAGAAACTGAGAGAACTTTCCCATGTCAAGATCTTCGAAGGTACTTTCCAAAAAAAATAAGCGAAAAAGACCCAACAAAAACAAAACATTTGCTTGATTTCCTTCATATCGTTTACCTCTCTATTAAAGTTGTGCTCTGGTTGACGTAGTAGTTTCGGGCGCTCTCGGATCAGTTTTATAGAACACCAGATCATCACATGTTTGTCCGGAAAGAAGTCATTAAACAGGTACAGTTTGTATTCTTTTTGCTTCTTTCGCTTTATGCGGTGTTATTATTTGTGAGAATTCAGCTGAAGCAGGATCCAGAACCATACGAAGGTTACGTTCCAATGAAATTCAGCGACTACCTCAAGAAGATGGCGAAGTAAGTAGCTTTTCGGTTTCACAACTGACATCTGTTCCAAAAAAATTCTAAATCCAGGAATGGGGAGTGGGGTGATCACGTAACATTGCAAGCTGCTGCTGATGTTGTAAGTAATTTCAAAGTGTCTGTCTTTTCAACTTGTGACATTTTCCTCTACAGTATGGGATGAAGATCTGCTTGATTACTTCGTTCATAGATACTTGCATCATTGACATCATACCAAAGGAACCGAAATCAGACAGAGGTAGCAAGTTTCCTTCTAGGCGCTCATCGGTAACGCTCGTGTTCTTGCAGTCATATTCTTAAGCTTTTGGGCTGAAGTGCACTACAACTCCGTGTATCCGGAAGGAGGTATAGTTTTGTGAAACACTGGTATGTGCTCTCAACCACTGTGTCGCAGAAGCCCCTGTCTCTTACACCGTCAGGAAGAAAAGGCACTGGTTTTCATTCTTTGGTTGAATCCAGTTCTTTTCTTCTTTCGCGATTTTAATCTACACCTATATACTTTTTCCTTTCTTGCTTCCCTCGCGCGCACCATATCTCTTCGTCTTCCAGCTAACAGTTTTCCATACAACAAAATTATTTTATTAGATCACAGGTACTACAAGTTACAACTTCCTAATTCGCCAGTGAGCAAAACGGCAAGTTGTTGCCAACACTCGTTCTTGTTAGCGGGTTCCAGCGGTCAAAAACAATCCGCCCGCCCCTTCCCATCCTACCACGGAACTGGTAACTTTCCTCCTCGAATTGTGGTGGCAGTATACCAGCGTCTGCTAACTCTCTCGCTTCCAGTGGCTTCGTGAACAGCATCACCGGTTCCATAGTATCGATGGATCGAATCGGGAACTACGCAAACACCAGAGCCACGTCAAGTTCCAACGAAAGCGAAAGCAAAAGAGAGCCAGCCACAGTACCTTTCTAGCTGGTCGTCCTCTCGACAGAGGTAAGCGTTTCTTGCGCTTCTTTCTCAAGGGGTCCATCCTGTCCACTAAGGAGTTTTCCAGCATGGGGTTGGCATACTCGTAGGCGTCCCCGTTCATCTGGTCCGTGCCTGCTTGCAAGTCGTCACTACGCTTTGGAAACAAGAGTTTCCGGGGCACTGTTGGTGGGAACAGGGACGCGCTGTTGAGGAACGACGTGTCCTCGTCGGCTTTGGATTCGTGCTGTTTGTGAAGTTACGAGTGGGCAAAAAAGAGACACAGAGAGCTCACTTTCCATAACAGGGGCGACGAAAACAAAAGTCACAGCTACCTTATACTTGATTTGGAGCCTCTGGATGTGACCTTCACAGTCGGCCAGCTCGCGCTTCTTCTCTTCACGCTGTGCAGACGGCAGTGTCAAATCAAGGTGGAAGAAGATTCCAACGCCACTTACCTTTTGGACAGCCAGCATCAATGCTCTAGCTTGCTCCAGATTGCGACGAACCTACGCGAGAGTTTTCACACCATGTCAAAGAGACGAACACGCGGAAGTTTGTACTCACCTGGCGGAGCTTGTCAAAGGATTGGACGTCGTTCTCACGCCTTTGCATCTATGAAAAAAGACCAGAAGAAGTTTTTCTTTTTGAAGGAAAAGCGAAGGAGAGAAAACTTGTGAGTTACCCGCCGGGTGTGAGGACGATGAATCTTCTCCCTCGGTCTAAATACATTAAAAGGATTTGTGTCGTTCACCGGTGGGGGTGGCTGCAAGTTATTTTCTTAATCGTGTTAATTTGATCCGGCTCGAATAGAAACGAAAAAAAGTAGAAAACTCACTTGCAACCGACGAAGTATGGGCTTCTCCCAGCGCTCTCGCTGCCATTGCAATGCATGAGTTTAATTTTTCCCAGATAGAAAATGCAAACAAAGTTTTGTGGCATCAACCTTTGATTTCCAATAGTCATACACGGCGCCTGCAATGGTTGGCGATCGGATGTTCTGAGCACGCACGACCTGTCACCGCCCGAGTCGTCAACAATAAACGCAATGCTATTCCCACCTCCAGTGCTCCATCCTTCTGTAGCATGACCGGCATTGGGATTCCAAGCGTCGAAGGCAAACCTCCCACACGCTCGCGAAGCTTGTGATCCTGCAATTCCATTTTGTAGAGAATTCTTTCAAATCTGCAAGACAGAAAACGTAAGCACATTCATCTCCTGCACAAAATACACACACAAAAGAAAAGAACGCTTACTTCTCGTGGGACAGTGTCTTGCGATCGCTAAACTGCTCGAGCCAATCTTCGTCCTCGTCATCCAAGTCATACTCCACAAACTCAGTTCCTTCATTCCTTGCTAGAAAAGCCACACAAACTTAAGTCGCGAAAGTTGAAAATCCACTCACCTCCTCGGCTCCGCAAGTAAGACGGTGGCTGCGTGAACGTCTGCGAGTAATCCTTCTCGTAAGTATCCACGCACACAAACTGTGGCGTGGGAATCTCTGCGCCTCCTCGTCTAGCCGGTGTAGCCAGCACCTATTGCAACAAAAAAAAAAAAAAAAACGCAACCAAAGCAACAAACACAAAGCAAAGAAGACGATCAAAAAAACTGAGCTGGAACCAAGATCACCCACCAGCTCGTTCTCCGAATCCAGCGCCACATGCCCGTGCTGGACCATCCGCGACACTCCAATCCCATCCTCATTGTCGAGGTCTCTCACGGACTTGACAATCGGGAGCTTCTTATGTATGTCTACAGGGCGGGGCCTAAATGACAACCTACTCATATCCGCTCATCTCCTTCTCGCCCGCTAATCCGCCATCTCCAGGATCCCTCACAGCAGTAGCCGCGCGCGCTCCATCACTCACCTCGCGCGCTGGGATCGATTCGCATCCTAGACCCCTGCTGCTCGCCCCTGGCGCCAACCCTATTTCCTCCCCCCTCAAGAGGATAAGCCCTAACCCAGACCTAGAAACAGAGCCCCCGTGGTTTAGGGTTTAGCGGCGTATATTCCGTTCCCGGCAGAGGCATATCCGTCGCAAAGCATATTCCGCTAGATTCGCATAGTATACGGTATAGATAGCTAGGGTGTGAAAGGGGCAATTGATGGCATTTTTGGCTGCCCAACGAAATAGATCGTCTCGTTGGATTTGGAAAATGATGGCGAGGTTACCATGGCATGCTAGCTCTTCTTTCTCTCTAGGGCCACGAAAACAACAGGAATCCATCTATCTCCAGACATTACTACTGCCATAGCCGATGTAAGAAAAGCAAAGATTTTTTGGTTCTTCCTAAGTGTGTGAAAGTGACCGGGCTTTTTACTTTCTACCGAGGAGCGGTAAAAGGTGATTTTTAGAATCTCTCGCGGTATATATAGGTAAATCTTGGGGCCGGAAAGAAGGAAACCTGCCTAGCTACGAAAAAGTAACTTTAAGTACTAGGGGGTAAAGGGCAGCAGCATTTTACCATTGGGGCCCATGATGATTAAGAATGATTGGCACACAGTACGGTGACACGCGGGTCACATCGCGTCGGCTCGTGAGCCAAGGCTGGTAAGATCCCGGCCATCCGTCCATCCTGGTGATTCCACTCGGATATGCCACGGCGTCCAATCCCTGTGCATGATCATGGATGCGCCCCCGCCGCATGCCATACGGTCGAGGCTACATACGACTCACGTACCCCGTACGTATTGATCTTGAGTTGGAGGGCTGGCGCCAGCATCATGCCGGATTTTCACCACCGGGAAGTACGGCGATTTACCGTGTGAGCCATGCTGAATTGGCCCAAGGAGGGGTAATCCAGTGCACCGGCTGGGGGTAGCGCTACCACGTACGCTCTACGCCTCAGGTAGCTAGGATGTTTTAGGGCTGACGTCACAGATCTTGAATAAGACATGCTTGTTAAATGCGGAAAGAAGGGAAAATAATCTCAGTAAATATCCATGCATGAATTTGATGACGCATGATGTACCACATTCAAACGCCCGCAAAAAAACACAGTGGAAAGTGTTGTTGGACATGAAGCGTGGTCATGTTTTCAGGAGCTTTTTATTTGGGTTCTTTGTTCTTGGGTTTTTTCCTTGCCTGTCCAGAAACGCGAGAATGTACTGCTCTTAGATTCCCTTGCCTTTTTCACATCGCATATAAGCAAAGCTTTGATTGGAGAGAGCTTGCAGGAAGAAGCGAGAGCGAGAGAAAGAAGAAGAAGAAGAAGAAGCGAGCAAAACAATGAACGATCGCTACTCTCCCTCTCCTTCATCGTGGCTGCAGCTCGCTCCGGCTAGCGCCGAGGAGTTCTTCTTCCAGAGAACCGGGCTCGTTGTCTCTCCCGATGATCCAAGCTTCCCCTCGTCTCCTTTCGCGGCGGCTGCTGCTTATCTCCATCCAGCATCGCCATTCCTCGATCACCACCAGCATCACCAGCAGCAACAGCAGCACTGCCACCAGCAACTTCGCCAAGATCAAGTCATTCTCAAGCTGCCGTCGTCGCAATACAAGGGAGTAGTGCCGCAGCCGAACGGCCGGTTCGGCGCGCAGATCTACGAGAAGCACCAGCGCGTGTGGCTGGGGACGTTCGACACCGAGGTGGAGGCCGCCAAGGCCTACGACGTTGCTGCAACCAAGATCAGAGGCAACGACGCGCTCACCAATTTCCCCCCGGTTGACGAGTCCGAGCCCGAGTCCGCCTTCCTCAGCCTCCACTCCAAGGAGCAGATCATCGACATGCTGCGCAAGCACACCTACAACCAGCAGCTCATCAAGAACACCGCCTTGGACACCTCCTCCTCCTCCTCCTCCACCACCACCACCAACAATCACAACGCGCCGTCGCCGCCGCTGGACGCCTCCTCGTCCTCGGCAGCCTCCACGCTGCAACAAGACGATCGTGATCATCGCCTGCGCGCTAAGAGCAAGAGCAAGAGCAGTAGTCTACTAGCACAGCATCACCGCGAGCACTTGTTCTTCAAGGTGGTGACGCCCAGCGACGTCGGCAAGCTCAACCGGCTCGTCATCCCCAAGCACCACGCCGAGCGCTGCTTCCCGCTGGCGCCGCACGAGAAGGGGCTGCTGCTATCCTTCGAGGACGAGCGAGGCAAGCACTGGCGCTTCCGCTACTCGTACTGGAGCAGCAGCCAGAGCTACGTCCTCACCCGCGGCTGGAGCCGCTTCGTCAAGGACAAGCAGCTTCAAGTGGGCGACGCCGTCTTCTTCGATCGCGCCACCACCGCCGGGAGCTCTTGCAAGCTCTTCATCCACTGGAAGAGGAAGGCCGCCTCGGTGTTCCACCCGGCCTTCAACTCCAACGCTGCTCATCACCACCATTTCGATCCTTCTCCACTTCATTCAGTTCTTCCAACTTGGCCGGGATCGTCGCCGTCGTCGCTGCTCCAGAGCGTGAGCGCCGTCACTTCCGCCCATCTCCAGCCTCGGTCCGACCAGATGGTGTCTCAAGTCCAAGGTTTCTGGGGATCTTCTCAAGTTTTCGGTGCCTCTAATGTCTCAACTCCAGAGTTCTCGCATCCCAAGATCAAGGAGAGCTCCTGTGGTGCGATTCGGTTATTTGGAGTGGATCTTTCCAGCCCGTATTAAGCGGCGCTCGATCCCCTTCCCGGTTTTATACATACGAATATATAAAAACTCTTTTTTGGACTTCTATGATTGAGCCAAATCTTCGAGAAGCAAAGGATAGCAACTGTTTCATTTTGCCGAATGATAGTGTCGTAAACACGGCCAATCTAAGTATGTAAATCTCTGGTTTTTGTGAGGCACAAACGGAACGGAAGTTGTATCATACATCCATACCTGGATTTGTAAAAAGTCCAGGAATACGAAGCCAAGACAATGCTGCGAACCTGGAATAAAAGCAAGACAACATTTGGTACTTCATTTCTCAGACAAGCAGTAAAAAAGAGCATACCTGCGTTGATCCCGATCACTTGCATCAGATTCTCGCTCTTTTTCCCAGCAAAGGAGGAAGGACGGTCGTTTCGTATCGTCGCGGGGCCGCAGGGCCTCCAAGAAGACGCAGACGAGCATCTTAACTCCTTTTTACAGCAGGAAGTCCGGTACCACGGCTGCTCGAGGGGCGAACTTTAACGGACTCTTTGCTCGTTTCCTGTGGTGTTGTCTCTTGGAACGTTGTTTCTCTTGATCCTGTTGTTGCTGCTCGCCTTGATCCTGCTGCTTCTCACTGTCGAGGCCTTCCTGTGGTACTGCTGTTAAATCTCCTCCTTCCGCAGGGTGTTTCTCCCTTCGGTGCCTCCGACGGTGGTGGTGGTGGTGCTTTTGAGCGGCATTGCTGGATTCCGGGAGCGAGCCGTCACGGTGGCTCCCGGACTTGTTGTTGAGTAAAACGTCCCGTATGGCAGTGGAGAGAACCGAGTTTTTGAGAGCACCCTTGGACGTCATGGGAACGCTGACGAAGTCGTTCTCCTCGTCCGTCACCTTGACAACGACAGAGCGGGCTTTCGGACGCTTGGGCTTGTTCCACACCAGTAATTCTTCCGCCAGCTTGTAGTTGTCATCAGCGGCTGCCGGTTGCGCCTGTGGAGCCTCGGCGCCAAGTAGTCCTTCCTCCTGCCTCGTTTCCTTTGGCAAGTAGTACTTTTCGTTCTTCTTCCTGTGCTGCTCCAAAAGCCCGGCACTCTCATCGACGAATGCAGTGTCCTCTTCCTTTTTGTGTGTGAAAAGCAAGCTCGACTCCGGTAGCAATTCTGTATCTTGAAGCTGATCGTCACCAAGCACAATCTTGAGCTCGCTAAGATCGTCGAGCAGCTCGAGGCCATCAGGGACCACCACCCTTTGCTGAGAAAACTGGGACACGGGTCCCAAATCCTTCGCAAAAGCTTCCCGGATCCCCGCAAGCATTTCTCCAGATCCAGCCTCGTCTTCTATGAAGCTGATAAGCCCAAACAGGTTGCTGGCTCGCTCCTGGACTTCCGTGTCCACGTGACTCTGCAAACTTCCAGCGTTCTCTCTGATCAACGTTACCATTCTTCCGAGAGGCTCTTGAGCTTGTTCTTCATCCGCAACATTCCCATTTGACTTTATCTCTTCGTACTCAAACTTATCCACCACCTCTGCGTCGACAGCAGTGGCAGCAGCACTCGCAAAGTGAACCAAAATCTTCAGCACTGCCTGGAGAAAAACAGCTTGGACTGAAGGTGGAAGCTTCTTCATGCGAGGCTGAAGCAGCGCCTCCACAATCTCAAACAAATCACCCGCCAACTCCACGTACTCCCCTGCTATCCATGCGGCCGCAGCTAAAACTCTATGAATGTGACTGTTCTCCCAAGTCGACGAATCTATTAGAAAGTCCCGAGCTAGCCTTGAAAGATCCTTCCTCACGCTTTCTACTCTAAGCCCGATATCTACAAGCTGCCTTTCTACTTCCTTTCCCTGCTCGAAATTTGGAACTCTAACCAGCTCTCCCAAAACTCCAACGTACCAGGAGAAATCCGTGACAAGCTCGTAAAAGGACCTGCTGCACGTTGACAAGATCGAAGACAAGAGCTCGTTGCAAAAGATCTTCTCGGCACTTAGCGCATATCTCATCAAAATCTGTACAGTGTCGGCAAGGTTGGAGTCCGAGACCATGCTGACGATGAGCCGTAGCGAGGCCATTTGAACGCTGGGATCCACATCGTTCAAGCAGCTGATAATCACCGACTTGCTCTGCGTGACGAGCTGAGGATAAACCGGCAACAAGTCGAGCACTGCCTGGAGTCCCAAGTACTTGAGATTCGGATCGTCGTCCTCCCCATCTCCTCCGTGAGAAGCCGCGAGAATCTCTTGCAGCTTTCCAGCGGCGAGCTCCACCACCTCGGTGTTATCCAAGAGTCCCACCGTTATAGTTCGTATGCACTCGAGCACAAGAGACTTCGCGCTGGTCCTTCGCATTTGCTCGCAGAGTGGCTCGGCAATCTTCTTCGCTAGCCGGGGCTCGAGCGGCATGAGAAGTGCAAAGAGCTTGACGAGCTTGATGAGCAGCCAGTTGTTGGTCGATTCCACCAGAAGCCTGTAGAGCTCGGGAGCGAGGAGAAGATATGGCTGGGGGTCCTGCCGAGCGAGCTCGTGAAGAACACTCACACAAGCCGCCACCACCTGTGAGTCCCGATCGTCGAGCTTCTCCACCAGTCTCTTGAAAGCCACTCTTATAGACTCTGGATGCTTGGAGAAAACCTTGAAGAGCACCAGCGTCGCCTTCTTCCGGATGTAGAGCTTGCTACTGCCCAGCATCGTCAGCACGTCCTGCGTGAGATCCCTGACCAGATCCGGCGTCGCGATCCGCGACAGGCACTCGAGCGCCATGCCGGCCTCGAATTCGTTCTTGCTGGACAGATCCTTCTTGAGGAGATTCGTGATGAGCAGCAGCACGTCGGTGGAATCGGTGAAGCTCTGCGACGCAGCCAGGTAGCCGATCTTCTTGTGGGAGAATTTGGGCATGCTCATCACCTCCACGACCTGGAATGCCGCCCAGGCCATGTCCACGCCGTGGAGAGCGTTCAAGTAGGCGAGCTTGTGGACCGCCGCCGCCTTGATGTGTGGATCCGTCGCCTTGATCTCCTTGCGGATCTCTTCCAGCGCCTTGGCCACGTACCTGGATTCGCCGCTCGCGGCCGCCTGGCTGCGCAACCCCTTGACCAGATCGTCCAGGCTGCGCTGGAAGAGGTAATCCATCACTGCCGCCATCGCTGCCCTAAAGGGAGCTAGCTCCAAGAAAGAATTATCCCATGGAAGGGCTTTTGAATAACTTCGATACAATAGTCCTCTCCTCTTTACATCGTCACATTATACTTGCGTGTTCTTCTCTTTGTCTTGTTTTCTCCGGTTTCAAGTAAGGCGCGACGTGATCCAACATTTCTTGATCCGAGATGGAGAGATGATCTCCAGAGAACGTCACGAATTGGATCCTTCCTTGTTCATGGAGTGACTTTAGACCAATCCAATCTTCCTTGTATAGAGCAGTCTGATAGAACAGAGAAAAGAATGAATCCAAAGTTTCTGGAATTCGAGTGGAGTACCTCTTCCATCGGTAACACTTTCGTTAGATCGTTGGGAGGAAAGAATCCAAACCAAGCGGTTTCTTGCGGCACCAGGACTGTGTCCTTGTCAAACTGGAAGTTAAAATCTAGCGAGCGTCAGGCATACGGTGGATAAGATAGGAACAAAAACCTTGACAAGGACGAGCTGATTCAAGTCACTAAGACGGTGCTTGAATGTTGCGTTGCGATTCTGGGGAAGCTCGTTATTCAGCTTTGGAAGGAATACACAGCTCCGATAATAGGACGACAAATCCTGGAAATTTTTCGTAAGCTCATAGTTAAAGGACGCGATGAAGGTAGTCACTTGCAAACCTTGGGCATTTTTATATATCCAGTGGGTGCTAGATGGTTCTGCAAGATGGTTCTGTAAGTGGAAAAAATATTTCTCAGAAACGTAAAGCTGGGAGCTACCTGAACAAAATCGCTGTAGACACCCATATGAAGGATGATATCGGCCAATGCGCAGAAGGAATAGGCCTGAAAATTATCAACTCGTCAAGAGGCAACCCGAACGAAATGGAAGCTTACGCACTGCGCAAAGAGGCAAAGACGCGATGCCAGCGTGAGGACCACCCAGAGAGACCATATTGTTAACCTGAAGTAGCATACGAGTCAGTTAGATTACGTCTAGAATTCTAGAATACCACAACGAACTTACAGGAGGTCCATCACACCATTCAATCAATCCTCTTCCTATCAAGTTTCCCTGTGGAAAACATGAACAAGGTAATTATAGAGATGTGGTTTCGTCGTTCAGGCTCTACCTGGGAAAGACCAACGATGTTGTAGCCTCCAGCAAGCTCTGGAATAAGTTTGATCTACAGAAGAGAACTTTGAAAAACGGCTCAAAGTCGCCAGACACAAGTTAAGTACCTCCTTACACGCGAGCTCAACTTGCTTGTCAAGGCGCAGAAACCACGAATCGCTGGCCCCGTTACCAATTTCACTAGAAAAACCATTGGGCATCAGCAAAAGTACTAGAGAAACTATGAACTTGAGGACTGACATGCAGTAGCCAGGAGCTCCACTCATAGTGCCGAGATCAGTAGTGAACTTGGTGATACCGTGATGCTTGCACTCATCGGAAATTCCTGAGGATTCAAGCAAACTCGATTAACTTCGCAGATCGCAGCAACGGAACTGACCATGCAAGACGACGAATGGCAAGACTGATGACGCCGCGGGAGAGAGTTGGAGCATCGCCCAAGAGGCCACCAGGAGCAAGAACTTCATCATTTCCGCTCGTAGCTCTAGGGCTTATTTTATAAATAAAAAAAGCCATTTTTGTTGAAGATATGATCGTTGAACTTTCGAGAATCGTCTACTTTGCTGGAGCAGCGGGAGGCGCCGCGGGAGCAGCAGCACCGGGAGCGGCAGCAGCGTCGGCAGGCGCTCCTTCTCCTTCCTTTGGTTTCTCTTCAACTTTCTTTCGTGGATTGTTGTCTGTCAAGTACTTCGCTAGAAACTCCACTGGATCCACAGGCCTACACACTTTCCATGCATGAATAAGAAGGGCCATAGAAACTAGAAGCTATACCTCTCAATCACCAAGCGTTGCATTCCTTGCAATAAGAGAGGCACTACTCTCGTTTCCTGCGAATCCACAAAGTTGGACGAAATCATTTTTGAGAAGAATCTCGTCATACCAAGTACTGTCGCACGGGCATAGCCTTGGCTTCGGCCATCTCTTGGTCACTCGGCTGCATGAACACGAAAGAGTTGTAGAAAGTTTTCTCCGAGACCAGAAAACAAAAGAAAAAAGAAAGACTTACAGGAGGCGGAGATCCGGACTCCGAGGCCATCAAATTACTCAGCTGCGTGAGTCCATCAGCAGCGGCAGCAGATGCACCTGGTTGATCGATCGATGAGAAAAACGAATGAAACCATTGAAAACTTCAATAGAGACAAGCAAAAACAAGAAACCATAGATCACAACGAAGCTCGAATTATCAACAATGCAAGAAACCATAGATCGAAATCTGGACAAAGAACAAGGAACCGCTCGAAATATCAACAATGCAACCAAAAACAAGAAACCAGATCGAAATTTGGACAAAGAACCTTCTCGCTACGCCGATCGACAAAGAATCGCTCGAAATATCAATCAATCAATCAGCACAGAGAAAGATTTCTTGCCTGCAGGTTGCGCGGGGACGGCATCCATGGCAGCGGCAGATCAAATCACGAAGAACAGTGAATGCGTGCGCGGAGTAGTAGATTCCCAGCCGGATCAGCCACAAGGAGCTCCACTGCCCTCGATCGCGCCACCACCACCTCCACCTCTTCTTTCCCTCCTCGCCGCCCGCTAATGCCCCCTGCATTGTGCCTCGTGCCCTTTCAGCCCTACACGTCAGACGGATACTCCCTGACACGTCACCAACACACTGCCACGTGGACAAGCGAATCTAGGGCTTGGATGGCGTATTCTCCCGAAAGAGTGTGGGATGCCCCGGGGCGTGGCACAGCGGCTGGGCGCGCCCTCTTTCGCCTCTACAATGGATTCGCCGCCGCCAGGCAAAAGGGCGAGCAATTCTCGCTGCAAAACAGGCTCGCGATTCTTCGCCGCCTCGCCAACACCTCGCAGGAAGGTCGTGATCTTCTTCTTCTTTTCTAACGAGTGATCCTCCATTTCCTTCGCTCGCAGAGAGGGCGGAAGAGCCGGCGCCCGTGAATCGCAAGGTTGCTCTTTGTAAATCCTCCAAGCATTGATCTCACACACCGGAAAAATGGAAGTTTTTCTTGTTGCCTCTTGCGAATTTGATCCTATCAGAGAAATCTCTGAGCTTTGCTGCAGCCCAAGGTGAGAGTGCCCCGGTTCCGGAGGAGGCCGAGCCTGGAGGACGTGCCGCCATTTCCAGTGCATGGCTATGGCGGCAAGCGAAAGGCATCGCTTATAATCGAGAAGGCGAGGGAGGAGTTTGAGAACATATCACTCCCGCCACCTCCAACGAGTAAGTATTCCCTCTTCTTCTTCATCGTTCCTCACGTTTCCATGGTTTTAGAGCCCGTGCTGGACGAGAAAGAGAAGCAAAGGCTTCAAACCATCTTCGAGTGGCACGGTCTCCTGGAAGAGGTATGGATCTAGATTTCCAGCGTGAAGAACTTTTGTAGATTCGAGAGCGCAGGGGGAAGTTCTGGTGGCACCCAAGATCACTCCCGTGCCGCGGATTCGCAAGGGCTCCAGGGAGGAGAAGGAGCAACTCTTGGATCTAAGTAAGAATCATGGAGTTCTTCTCGTTGTTCTTTCGTCATGTTTGCCTTGGATTGCCAGTTTCCAAGGAGATTGAGGAGCGAGAGGAGTTCTTGCGAGACATGCAAAAGTACGGCAAAGACGAGGAGTACCGGAGCCAGATCCAGATGGAGATCCGCGACGTAAAAAACCATCTTTCCCTCTAGCCTTTGCAATCAAATCAAATCTTTCGCTCGTTTCGCGCAGCGAGTCAAGCAGATGAAGCAACTGGACAAGCTCATAACCGCGGACGAAGAGAAGCGCGCCATGGAATTCCGCGCAAAACAAGACGAGAAAGCCAAGAGTGTTTCCTGGAGCCACAACGATCTATAAACAAAACGATCCCATTTAAAAAAATTTGACACGTTGGAGAAACCTAAGTTAGGGTTCTAGTATGTTTCTCTCGTTGTTCTTCCTCGCGATCGTGCTCCTCCGCGCAAATGCCACGGTCGTCATCACGACTCCCACGAATCAGTCCATGCCCTTCTCGGACATGGAGGCGGGATTCGGTAAGTTCTTCCCGCTCCAAAAGCATCCATGAATTTGTGGAAATTCTCTCCCAGCTCCTCGCGTCCCGCAAGCCGGGATTTTGGGCCTCCTCTACCGCGGCAATCCACTGGACGCTTGCGATCCGCTCAAGACCGGGCCGGCTCTAGACCAGAGCCCATTCTCTTCGTTCGTCCTCGTGAAGCGTGGAGCTTGCCGGTTTGAGACGAAGGTGCGCAACGCCCAGGACGCTGGATTCTCGGCAGTGATCGTCTACAACGATGAAGATGGCCGCGACCTTGTGATTAGTAAGTTCTTCCTAGTGGAGCTTCTCGCGAAGATAACATCAGATGTGATCCTTTCATACTTTTTCTTTGCAGTGTCGGGTGATTCGTATGGGATTAAGATCCCGGCGGTGTTTGTCTCCCACGCAGCGGGAAAGGTTCTGTGGAGGTACGCTGGAAATCCACAGACGAGGTGCTTCATTTTCCCGACGCTGGACTACCCGGCCTGGTCCGTCATGGCGGTGGCTTTCATCTCGCTTCTCGCGGTCACGGCAGTGCTGGCAACGTTCTTCTTCGTGCGGAGGCACCGCTTGCGTCGGCTTGGCTCGAGGTTGCTGCTGCCGCGAGAGCCTCCGGGACTGACTTCCTCGGAGGTGAGATCGCTGCCGACGTTCGTGTATAGGCGCGCTGGCGATGGCGACGATCAGGCAGACACTTGCGTGATCTGCATGGAGGAGTACGAGGACGGGCAGAAGCTCCGGGTTCTTCCGTGCCGACACGGTGAGCGAGCGAAAGCTTGGCTTTGTTTCTTACTGTTGCGTTTGTTCTTCGCAGCTTTCCACGCAGCTTGTGTCGATCAATGGCTCGTGACGAGGAAGCCCTTTTGTCCCGTTTGCAAGAGGGATGCGCACGCAAAGTCGGAAGCTCCCACAGCCTCGGAGAGCACTCCACTTCTCACAGCGAGAGCTCCTGCGGCGGTGGCGGTGCCGGCGCAAACTTCCGCGTCGCCGCTCCTTCATCACTCGGGATCTCCCATTCCGGTTCCAGCTCCAGCTCCTCCATCAGACACTCTTCTATTCCGGAGCGCGTCGCTGACGAATACCGCTCCATCGAGCAGAACAGTTCCAGCAAAAATCATGGCTTCCTCTTGGCCTCGAGGCCTGCAGGCTTAAAGGCTGCAAAGTGAAGGGAAGAAAGATGTTTTTCTTTTTCGTATGGCTCGAGTATGTCTAGTGCTGAAGGGGTCGCAAAAGAGTCGCGACTGTGTCTCCTCCACCATACCGCAAAATGATCAGCCGGTAAGCCTCAATTCTCTTTGTCTTCCTTCCTCTCATGTTGGTCTTACAGCTTTGGCTGCATCTAACCTTTTAATGAGAATAAGATTTGCCCTGTATATTGTTATGCTTTCGCGTTAGGGGCTGTGGCAATGTCCATTTACAATTGAGAACATTTGAGGGATGGCCAAACAAGATCAAGAACTACATTACGGCTTTTATAAAGGCCCATCCGACCTCTTTAAAATAGTCGTCCTAAGAGTTAATGTCTAGAGTTGTGGCCGCTAGTAGAAATTTTCCAAGCCGGACTCCAATGTAAAGTCTAGGAGAGTTCCATGCCTGACTTTTTTAGCGTCTGGTATAAATAGCATGATTATCAAATAGAATTGATAATATTGATAATTATTCCACTTGAAAAATATTGAGATTTTCCAGTAAATACACATTAAAAGGCATTCTCTTCTAAAAGACTGAGAACATGCTTTGGACCATTTTTCATGGTTGTTATTTCCTCTCCATGCAATTAGAAGCATGAGATATGCCATTGCAGTTCTCTCATTGAGATTGTTTTTTTTTATAATAACATTAAAAGGGTAAAATTACAAGCTAAATGTCTGGCATTCTAAGTGCATGAATAACAACTACCAAAAAATGTGCTTCAAAACTTATTCAATCCTTTAGAAGAAAATGCTTTCACAAGATCTTGTAAATAAAGGAAATCTTTGTGCGTGCAGTTATAATTCTAACAATAGATATAATCATACTTTTTAAGGAAGGGGTTATAAAAGTAAAGGGTTTTATAAAGCAATTTTTTAAATTTTGACATGTAATTTTAAGTGAGGAGTTCAAAAAAAAAGGAAAAAAAAGAGGCTTTGGAAAAACACAACAAAAATGGATGAAATATCTTTAAAATATGGGTTAAACACTTATTTAAATACTATCATTTAAAATAAATTTAAATGACATTGTGTTTTGTTCTGATTTTTTAGTTATATAAGCCATTTTTATGTTATTATATCAACAAAAGTATAAATATTTATATTTTAACTTTTATGAAGATGTGGAGAACAAGGAGGGGTGAAAAAAAATTTGGAGGTGATTGTGAGCACAAATTCCTCAAGGACAAAATCACTAAACATGAGAACAAAAAAAATAACATTGACAAAAATGTTTTAGATATCATCTTCTCTTTGATATATATGATGAATTTTAAGTTAGGGATTACTTCTTTGGCTTGCCAAATTAATGGATCTGGTGAAACATTATACGCATTCCCCAAAACTAAAACAGGAATTAAAATATATTATATTATAAATTTCAATCTGTGAGGGCC